CAGCCCCACTCGGGCCAGTCACCAACGCAATCAATGGCGACCGAAATCCTTCCCTCGGACGATGACGAAGGAGGATCCACAGAAGCAATGTCGGAGACGGGAGACACCGAGGAAGAGGAGGAGGAAATTGTTGGAGCGCCGGCGGCGGCGCTCTCTGAGCAGGTAATACCTCTGCTGAGGTACTTGGATCGCAAATTTGATAAATACGCAGATCCACTCCAGCCGGGGTCCTACATCGAGTTAGTGCTCAGGCGGACTCGCACTAAAGTCCACACTAGCAAGCTACGGGTCCACCCTAGCTATACTAGCTAGGGTGGACCGGGAACTTAAGGATTTGCGGGAGAAGCATGCATGTTTGTGGGGACAGTATAATCTTGTGCGGAAGTCGCACAAGCATTGACGCATTGAAGCAGGCGAGACTGGAAGAGCTCACCAGGGATGTGGTGAAGACCACGGAAGAACTGATTTCTGAGAAGACTCAGAATCAGGTTCTGTCAGAGGAGCTCGTGCGACAGACGCGGTTGTTGGCGGAGTGTCAGCTCGCACGACAGGCGGATGAGGATTTAATCCGCAGGCTGCAGTCGGAGTGCGGGGAATTGAGAGCTCAGCGTGCGGAGGCCGAATCGCAGTTGGTGGTAATTGAAGATCATCGCAGGCGACAGGCGGATCGCACGAAGGAGGAGATGGCTAGGCGAGTCGCTCACTGTCTCAAGGGCTACGCCCACTGGGAAGTGGCGGCGCAGGAGAAACTCACACTGCGTGAGTTGGAGCTTCGTGCAGCCGGGTTGTTGGCAGGTGACAGTAGGAGTCGGCGGCGAGTGGCGAAGAAGTTAGATTCCTTTCTGTCAAAGGCGCGGGATACCATGTCCACCCACGAGGCGGAGGTGTCCGCGGTGTTGCAACGGTTGGGACTGCGCAGTCGAGCGGAAGACTGGCAGGGTAGGGAGTTAGTGCGCGGCAGTCCGTCGCGCAGGAGACGAAGCACAGGTTCTGCGGAGTGTAGTGTAGCGTGGTTCCGTGCAGGCGTGCAGCGTAGTGCAGTGTAGTGTAGTGCTAGTTAGGACTTAGAAGGTATAAAGTAGTTCAAGGCGTCTTGCCTTGTGTTCTTTCCCAATTTCGGAAGTGCAGATTAGGAACTCCTTTTCTCTGCGTGTTTGTGTCCTTAGTTCTGTCACCACGCAAGAGGAGCTACAACTTGGCGTTCCGCATTTCGTAGCTGAAGGCCTTCGGCCGAATGTTCAGAGCTAGTATATTGGTTAGAGACTTGAGTAGTTCGGATCTACACCCGCGGGTGATTGCCGATGCTCAGAGCCAGTGACTAGTTAGATACTTGAATAGTTTCGCCCCTACACCTTCGAGTGTTTGTTCCTGATTGTACTCCTTCGGGATTTTTCCCCTGAATGCCAAAGTGAAGTTTTGCTACTTCGTGTAAGCCTTGGTTGTAAATTCAGGTTACGCTGCAGCAGGTGCCTTTGAAGTAACCCCTGTAGTATTTCTGGGAATGACAAGTGCCTAAGAATTCAAACTCTTCAATAGACTGTTATGGTGTGTTACTGGAATGTTTCTCAGGGAGTCCTTCAGTGCGGACCTGTGTTCTCTGCGCGTTTTGTGAGTTGAGAGTGTTGTTCACCGCGTATGAGTGACTTCGATCCGAAATAGGCAGTCCAAACCGGGTTTCCTACGCTAGCAGCAAGCTAGTGGAAGTGTTGTAAAAGCCGGAGTTGGGAGTCACTACCCGCAGCTTCGCTGAGTGTACTCTTGAGAGACCTTCCCCCTGAAATCTTGAGTAGAGGTCCTGACGGATCTCTGGGTTGTGTTTCTGTAGTTTCAGGTGTGTGTGTGTGTGTGTGTGTGTGTTACGCTGCACTGTGCGACCTCCGAGTGCGCTCCGAGTGGACACTTGCAGTATTTCTGGGAGTGACAGTCGCCTGAGAATTCAAACTCCTCAATAGTCTGTTAAATGTGACACTTTGTACCCTGTGTGTTCCTCTGTCCCTGTGGGTTCGACCTTTCTTCCACTATATTGCAGTTTTAGCCTTTAGTGGGTTATTACAGAGTGACATGTGCTTGAGAAGTAAAACTCTTCAATACAACATTAATTCGTGACAGTAATTGAATCTCTGGTGTTGTTTCTGTCCTCGTGGGATTGGATCTATACCTTTATGCTTCATTTTGATATTTATTTGTTATTACAACGACCAAGAGAACATTAGTCTTGGGGACCATGGCTGCAGTTGCGGATACAAGTGAGAGCACTGATACTATGTTGAATGAGCTTCTGAGTGGAATGCATGTGAGCGATGATGAAACATAAGTGGGATCCAGTGGATCAAATAAGAAGTGCACACTTGCTTTTTATATACCAACAACAAAGAAGGTGGTTGGAAGAGCTTCAAGTGTCGTGGATTTGAGTCTTCCTTCTCTCTTCAAAAACCGAGTCCCAGCTCACGATTCACATTCTAGCTTTTCATTCATGCATGTCAATCATGTGGACGAACCAATGTTTTTTACATATGTGAAAAATGTGCACTTCTTTACTTTAATCTCTAAAGTTGACCTCAAACGACAAACAACTAGCAGTGATGATTTTTACTTTTGCAAAATGCCATGAATATAGCTCTAACACATGAAAGATGATGAGTATTTTTACTTTGCTAAGTTGATCTTGATGGGAAATGCAACTTTGATCTTGAGTATGTAACTCAAATAAAACCGTTAGGGCTTGACTTTTGTATGCTTCGGAATCGAAGACGTAAAAGGTAAAATTAAATTGTCCTTATGTCTAAATTGCTCGTACTTTTAGAATGTTGTACTCATCTATATAAGAAGTGTGAAACTGGAACTAATGTGGTAACCTCTGATTTAATTTCCGTTTCTTGCACTAAGTACTGAAGTCTTCTGATGGGACTTTATTACAATTTGGATAAGTTTGTTCTTAAACAAATAATACTCATGTTCAGGCCGAAAGTAGGAAAAAACATCAAGTAATTGGAGTTCCAAGTTCTCCGTTGAATCCAGATAAGAAGATTTTTAACTCAAATGTGGTTTTTATCAAAAAATATATGCTTGGTTATTGACAGGGAAATGTCTTGATTATTCCCGTTATCATGACTTGGATAATATACTATTTCATTATAATATTGAGGTTAAAGTTTGTCACAGCTTTCATGACGAACACTAATCACTAAATGACGAACACTGATCACTAAACTGACTATGATGACATTCACGTGTTCGTACATAATCATCCATGTATTTTTGTTCCGGTATTGATCACGTCTATGGAGACTGCAAAAAGCCCATCACAAGTATTAATAAATAGAAGATACACATGAAATAAAATCCCAAATAGGTAGAGTTTATTTTTGTGCAACATTTACACAGAAGATTCATTTCATTCGATACCGAGAAATGATGTTACCAATAACGGCAGCTCTAAAGTCATATCCTAGGATTAAATACCCCGATATCCTAGGATTAAATACCCCGGCATCCCGGAGTAAAGCATCACGTGTTGTCGGTAGCCCTCCTTTTGAGGATAAATCACGTTATTCCGTGTCTTGTGTTGGTGGCTTAACTTGAGTGTTTCTTGGGTTTTACGTTCACGTACTACATACCGACAAAATCTATATGAGACCTAATAAATATGAGTCATGTTCGACGACATGATATGTTTTATTCTATTCATCTTCAAATATGTAAATATTGTTAAGTTTGGAAGTGTAACTTAGCCACACAAGCCTAACATCTTTAGTCTATGAATAGGACTATCAGGGAGGATTTTACTTTTCTCTTTACACCTTTTGAATCCATACATGGACTAGATATAATAAGACGTCTCAAATTTCCAATCATGGTTGATATACTTTTATTTTCATCCATGATTTATTCACAGCCCCTTATCCGTCTTCAAAAGCATTGTCATAAAAAATGTTAAGTATTTCAAAGATTATTTTCAGACATATCATCACTCTAGATGACTAGATCTACATAATCTAGATAGTTCAAACATTCTACATGGAATAAGACATAGTACCAATTATGATTCTTGGGCCTAACCAGTCATACTAAAATCTGGTGTTCTATTTATAGAGGCAAATTTAATAATGGCAGATTCGCTAGATCGATACACGTGAAACTTCAAAGGAGGGAGTTAATGTAGGAATGGGTTATCACAAAACAAACCCTGAGGGCATGCGGTTGAATTTGATGGTGAATTGTGGATAGCAAACTTGGGTGTGCTTCTAAGTTGAGAGGAGGTTGCGAATGGGTGGCCAAATTCTCGATCCTAGTAACTAAGCAGTAGAGAGCAAGTTCATCACAAAAGAAATAGAAGAAATAAGAAAAACATTGTTCGCGTGCATTTCAAAAAAATTCATTTTAGTTTCATTTCATGTATGTACCATGTTTGGTTTGATTATTGTGAGTATTTTTTTGACTTAATCAGAAGTCCCAAGTACATTTTCATTTCATTTATGTACCATGTTTGTTTTGATTATTGTGAGTATTTTTTTGACTTAATCAGAAGTACCAAGTACATTTTCATTTCATTTATGTACCATGTTTGTTTTGATTATTGTGAGTATTTTTTTGACTTAAACATAAGGCCCAAGTACATTTCATATTTTTCATCACTTTTTTACTCTAATATCATTTGATAATTCCAAGTCTTTTCTCAGGCCATTTTTTCCAAGTACATTTCATACATTTTTTTCATTATCCAACGTGTCCAAATACCACGTCCGTTGAAAGTGACTTCTCCATCATCAAATGGGAGCAAGATAACTACCGCACCCGCATTAGGAAAAAAAATTCTGGCAAATCTGGCATTTGCCAGAATTTAGGAGCCCTGAATCTTGGCTTTTCTTGATCATTCTAAGTCTTTTCTCGAGCTCATTTCGGATCTACTATCAGCATCAGTGTGGATAATCAGCACCAACTCAAAGGCGAATTTCAGATCACGATGGATGACGAGCTATTCAAAGCTTTTGAGTACAGGTGAAGAGTAATTTATTGATGAGCTTCAAATTCACTTCTTTATTGATCACCATGATACATAGACTCAGCATGCTGCTAATTGACAGCTTTCATCATCATCATCTTATTTCCTCATCACTTGGGTGATAGAACTGGAGGTTTAAGGACCGAATGTCGAAACAATCCGAGCCAACAAAATCCGAAGAACAAATATGATGCAAGAAATTCAAATGCATAAACAGGTCAGAGAAATGCAATCTGCTTGAGCAGAGTGAACAAGTAAGGCGTCTCAGAAAAGAACCCACAATGATCGCCGTTCTTGAGAAGAAAAACTTGTTTTGGAGGGTTATGGGCGATGATCTGTTGTTGAATGTCGTAAGGAATGATCCTGTCCAGTCCCTGGCGGATATAGTATCGATCTATGGACCCATAGTTGGCCTTTGTGAGTTTTATGCTATCGTAAAAAACAGCCCAAGGTGTATCCTCCATCAAATTCGTCGCCAGAGCAACATCCTGCCAGAACCAGGACATGAAATCAGTCTTCTGCTATTTAGATTTCATAGTCTTTTGCTATAAGTCGACCCTCAAGGCTGCTACTCTCACTGCACACATCGTATCCGACCGACCATCGGTTTTGTACCTCGCAATACTCATCTTCAGCATGAAGTAAAACAACGAACATGAGGAGAGAAATCATCAAACTGCTCAACTGCGTGCAGTAATACACTCCCTTTGCAACACTAACCGCAATCTTTAAAGATACAAAGAGGCTTGGCCACCAAGCTTACCAGAGGAGGACTCCTATTGAAGTAGCAATTCGGAGCACCTGTTCTGTTGACTACTATTGAGGAGGGGTACGTCTTATTCACACCATTGTAGTTGAGAAGAAAGCAGGTGTTCATCAGAGCAGGAAAGGTCTGCAAGTTGTTATCAATCCACAGAATAAGAAGAAATAGAAGCCTGTCCAGGATATGTTGAGTGCAAGTACCTCCTACATTTGTTTGGATCAGTCACTCTCGACGACAGAGATCATGCAAATATCCGTCAGTTCAAACACTTGGCTTCTCCTGCAGCAGTACATGTACACAGCGTTGCATGCATGTAATTGCGAAATCCAGATGAACCAGGTGATAGGAACGACCATACGAGAAATTGTAGTAATGAGCATATGGTATAAGGGACTGAGCATGTTATGAAGGCCATAGAACTCGCAGGATTGGTTGAGAGTTTTACTGGTTTGAGCGCGTCGAGGACCATTTCACCGGTCAAAGGCATAACCCCAGACAGGAATACAGCCTTTGAGATCTTCTCGGGAAAAGTTTCCATTGCGTAAGAAGCAGGGCCGCCTCCCAGGCCGTGACTCACCAGTATAACCTTCGCAATACCAAGGAGATGGAGATTAAGACTAATGGAATATCTTGTCCCAGAACAGAAAGCACAGATCAACTTCATTTTCTGTGAGTTCATCTCGTGCTTTCAGAAAATCTCACCAATATTAAACTGCCCTTTGCTAGACTTTTCCTGGACCGGAGTGCAGGAAACTGTGAACGGCACCCGACTTCGCTTCTGACATATGATGCAACAGAGGATTTCTATGGGCGGTCTTGAGATGAAAATTTGACATCAATGGCAGCCTTGATGACTGGAGCATCCACGTGTTTGGTTCTTGGAGGTGAAGGGAAGATTCAGGGCAACATCAAGGAGAAGTAAGAGATGAACGTAGGCAGATGGTTGCAGCAAAGATTCAGGGGAGATTCTGCACGGACCTTTCCTGTCACATTTGCCAAGTGGCTTGTCAGCGGCTTTGCATATTGGGACATGCTCAGCACTTCGTCCGGACTAGTCTTGTCGATTCCATGGGACACCATGTCGATGGCAACTGTCGTGAAGCCTACTTCTTGAAGCATGGCAGCCACTCTGAACCACACCCAAGATGCTTCACCACATCCATGGACGAACACGTATGTCCTGACTTCGAGATTTACAATTTGACGATTTGTCGGTTGCACCTGCAAACATCGGAGATCGTAGTTTCACCTTCCTGTGAGAATGAGATGGTTGAAATCGCACAAGAGAAGTGATCTTTTCTGTCGAATCACGCGTTATTAGTAAAGTTAGTAAGGAGCAGACTGAAGAAACTGAGATGATATTCAGAACTGTCTGTGCGAAGATTTCTCTGAACTTCAGTACGCAATACGAAAGGACACTTGTAAAGCTCTGCTGGAAATATGATCCTACTCTGCAAATGACATTAACTACTGCAGTGGGAAATGTCAGGTAGTGTGCCTACCCTAGTCATAAGTATGTAGGAATGCAGCTATCGTAAGGACTACATTGAGCAGCAAATAGAATGCAGCCCTACGTAATCAGAAGCAGGTTGCTGCAGCATCTTTGTGCATAAGGGAACATGATGTCATGGCTCTGAGACCTATCGAAATCTCCTGCTGACATTTAGATGCTTGTGGCAAATCTACAATCTTGAATACATAAAGCACTGCAAATTTACGGCTCACTTCTATTTCTGTACAAGTCCAAAGAGTTTTTCTGTGATCTTGAGTAAACAAAAATGTTTCTCACCGCAACATCTGCAGCACCGACATGGATTGTCGTCGAAGATAGAGGAATGCTGAATAGCACAATGGATGCAATCATTCTTCTGAGCATCTTCTCGTCCATGTAGAATCTGTATAGACAGAATTGGAATTTGGTTCTCTTTTACCTTCCTTTCGCCGATTGTGATCTTTGAATGGCGTGCTTCTTCTCATAGTGGCTTTATATAAGAAGCACCAGATACTGTTAGAACTCAGATTCCCTCCGTCCACGAGGACAATCAATGACAGTAACCGTTCCCAGAGAATGTGCTTGCAGTCAAATCGCGTTGACAAAGAGATGCTGTACTTCGCCCTCGTCACTTCTGAATATAGTTCTGCTCGCTCCATGAAGAACATATGTCTATTGCGATATCAGCTACAACGGGATCATCAGAGTCACGGTAAACATAATTCTGGTAGATGAGGAAGTTAGACATGACAGTAAGTTATACACAGTAGTTATCCAGGCAATGCTGCCAGATGGACCGGTGTCATTTTGCCAGCACTCTTTGGGACAATCTTCTGAGAACTGGCAGGAGAAGAGCTACACAATACTGTCTAGTGACCTTGAGATCAAGGACGATATGTGACCAGCGCTGAAAGGTCGTGTTAAAGTAAATTGGCATATCGAAATACCGAAACAGACACACGATCTTTGATTCAACGTCGTGATCCGAAGCAATTCTAGATGTAAACCGGGTCATGATGGAGTCCTTGAAGTTGCGTATTGGCTTCACAGATATTGATAACCTCATGACTCAATAACTGAAGGATGAGCGTGGCTGAAATGCCGAGGCGGTTTGGGTTTGCGAGTGGCCAAGCTGAAACAATTATCTGATTTTTTGCCATCATAGAGAAGTGTGCAATCAGCAAGAGCCCGCTGATTTTTGGCCCTTGACAACTTCAGGAAGTTGCTCAGTTGATACATTATGAAAATCAAGTGAACGTAAATGTGAAGCCCACGTAATCCAGAAGCCACTTGAGCGCCACTTGAGAATAAGACTCCACACTTTCTCAAGAGAAAAGCTTCCACGCATGAGTGACGTCCAGGGGTGGGGGAAAGTCAGGGAGCATCGTCATGTGGAGCATAAGGTCGACCAGAGGTAGCTGGCCCAACAAACTGATTCTACCTGATTGCCGATGAGGTGGAGGAGCCCAACGCAGCATTCTGACTGATTGTGAGGAGAAACCACATGAACCACTCCTCTCCCCAGAAAGAAGGCTGGACTTACAGCGGCCATCTTGTTGTACGAACTCGGAACATCACATGAGATGTTTCCTCTTCGGTACAGTACAGCCATGGAACCGGTTCAAAATCACCGGAGCTTCAGATACATGTTACGGATCTTATTGCTAAATTCCCGTGAAAGTCGGTGCCAGAACCCTACAACTTGTGGGCGATGTTTCTGCCTTGAAGTTCCTGAAATTTACATCTTCACCGGGATCCCATGCGAAGTTTTGAGGCTCAAACTGGAAAGCTTAGTACTCTAGATTGAGCAACGATTACGTCATGACAAATGTTGAGTTATTTGCCAGTGACACACAGCGTCAAGGGCCAGCACTGTAAAATACTTCTCGGAGAACTGCAAATCTTACATGTATGTATACTCACTGTTTTTGCTATTATAACGTAAGATTGCTTACTTTCTTACCCGAACTGAACTCGAGTAGGCTTCTCTTAGGCTTAATTGATTGTACACACTCATCAACAAGGAGATAAAACAATTCACCATGTTCGGTTCGGTTCGTTTCGGTTCGGTTCTGGATTGAAATCGTAAGACAATGATTAGAATCTAAGTCTCTCTTGGGTGACGTCTGTGACGTCGTAAAATCCTGTGAAGCCGCCATCTCACGAGTGACGAGTGACGGCTGCCAGAGTTTCAGTGTATCATCTTCTAGGTGGCAGTACCTTATGGCCGTTGTCCTCGTGGAACGAACTCGAAGCTTAGACTCCACCATATAAAAGCAAGGCTAGCCTCTTGTCCATCCAGAGACCAAAACTTACCAGGGAAACATCTGCCAGGGTGACCATTGCAACTTGCTATTTCACAGAGAACAGGAAGCCTTGTCCGGAAAGAAGAAAATAAAGAAGGAAATGATGATTGCGAGCTCGATCGCAACCGTATTGCTTCTCAGCGTTTCTCTGTTCGCACTACCGATCATTATCGTTGCAGATTCGGTAAGCGACACCTTTTCTTACCTCGAATTCTAACCTCGTAACGATGCTAGATCTGATGGCAATACTTTCTAATGCGAGGATTTCCGGAGACCGGGAGATAGCAGATCCAGATACTTCTAAGATACTTTCCGAACGAGCTGCAAAAATCGGAACTGTATCTCTCTCAAAATGCATCACGTGTAAGGCTCCTGATTGTAGTTCACTGCACTGGACTGGACTGGACTTACGAGCTGCATGTGGACCACAAACAGCATCTACTTGATCGGCCCATGTTTTGCCCAATTGAATCGAGTGAAGGTCAGTCCAGCAAACCATTTGTGTCAACAGCTACTAGTAGAACATACGTTCCGGAAGCTTATGATCTAAACTTGAGTGCAGGATCAAGACCAAACTGCTCCAGCACGCTCAAAGACGTACGTGCTAGTCCACGGTCCTGGTAGTGGATCATGGAATTGGTACAAAATCAAATATATGCTTCAGCAGGCAGGTTTTACAGTTTATACACCGGATCTCACGTCCCATGGAATTATGGACAACAGAACTGCTGATACTGTATTCACGTTGGTCGATTATGCCCAGCCCCTTTTGAACTGCGTGGCATCTGCACCTGAGAAGGTTCTTCAAACTCCATCTTCAGTATTTACGTGTATCTGCTTGATTTGTAGTTTATCCAACTTCCTCACTCTGATTTTTGAGGGTGACGAAGCTTCTTTACATGATCCTGGTGCTTGAGCAGGTAATATTGGTGGCACATAACACTGCTGGAACACCATGTACTCTAGCCATGGAGACGTACCCAGAGAAGATTGAGAAGGCTGTCTTTCTTTCAGCTGTCATGCCCATCTCAGGGACAGTAATAAACGACTACCTCAAAGCGGTATGTACTGTAAACAGTTTCAGTTCGGTGCCCCTGAATTGCAAACCATACACTGACAAAATGTGCACAAACCGTTGCTTCTCAAGGTTCAAATCCAGGATAGATATCGGACCACACGGAATCTCGTTTATGGTCCTTATCTGTATAGGAGTCGAAGATTACTGATCCATAAACTGCGATTACTGCAACACAAGAATGTGCTACTGTCTGCTACTCCATTTACGTCTTTTCCATTATTTGTGTTTGTTCTCTTTCTCTTCATGTCTCTCATAAAACACTCTCCATGCGGGCTTTGGTCTTTGGGCACATTCTGCAAACACCATCGGTTTCTTACGTTCGAGCAACTGAACAGGTTTACAACTGCTAGCAAACAAGTTTCACTGCTCACTGACGTCACATTGGCTCCATGCTGTGGGCAGCCCTTTCAACAACTCGTAGACGAAAACGCAATGCATCAAATATTTGCGCAAGGAACGTTCTATGAAACTACATCGATCCAGATGAACGCCACCGCTATGCGAGAGTATTACTTCGGACAGTCTTCTCTCGAGGTATGAAAGCTGGCTTCGCTTCTTCACAACATGTGCACATGATCAGTGTTAAACCACGTATGACGCCATTCTTGAACGGCGATAGCCACGCAGGTCATAGCCCCAGAAAAACCAGCTATCTCCTTTCAGGAATGCTATGGTTAGGAAGATACCGAGGTTATATTATTTCGTACGTACATCTGCGAATTCAGTCCTTGAGCTTTTGTCGGTGGAACATTATAAAGCTTTGCATATCGTTCGGATGTTCAAGCACACGCATATTGTAGATCGTTCAACATGTACTGCACTGCAGATTTACGAGAGGTCTTTTCTATTATATCAACTCATCTACGGCCTAAGCTGCCATCACAGAAAACTTAATCAATGACAGAAATTCTGATTTTAGCAGTTATGCTTCATTTCGAGTGCACCACATGAGAACTTCTGAATCACGGCGGTCAGTGACTCTGAGATGTATGCGATGCCGTACAGTACTGTGCATGGTTGCAGGTGGCACTCATACTGTCGGGTGGTGTTTGCAGGATTACATCATGGCTTCGTCACTACTGTGTGCCACCCCGTACAGATGTTTCGATGATCCGGTCTACCTGACCCCCGAGAGATACGGGTCTATAGATCGCTTCTACATAAAAACAGGACAGGACAAGATTGTGCCCCCTGTGTTTCAAGACATAATTATTAACAAGAACCCACCCAAGCAAGTCTTCGTTCTGAAGAACAGCGACCACGCCTCCTTCTTTTCTGAAACCGATTTGTTATTCACCCTGCTTAAGAATATTCCACTTCTATAACTTTAACATATTTCACGGTTTTTCATCTACTCAGATTTCTTCGCTTAAGGTGACTCCATATCTTTGTCATAGCAAAGCGGATAATAAGATGGTAAGTGCTGTAGGAATTTGGAATCGCTATTGTTGGCATGCCCTAGTGTACAATCTTGGCTTCTGAATCAGCGACTTTTATCCTGATTTTGGCATTTATTAATTGGCTCAATAAAAGTGGACACTTCGTTCACCCGGTGTGGCTGTCATATTTTTTATATGTGCATATTGGCATCTGCAAGAGAAATATGATTCCAGGGTTTTCTCTTAATTTCTTTGTTTGCCAATTTTGAGTTATGGCGGACCCAAATTGTGTTCGACCATGCACGTAGCGGGATCTTATTCACACGGCATATAACAAGTGCAAAAGACACCCTCGCGTACGAAGATATAGAATGCGTAGAGTGGAGCCGATATCTAGATCTGTGAAAAGATAATACGACCGCTGAGGAAACTAAGTAGCAAGGTATTGACAAGATTATTTCTGTGGAGAGAGAATGCGGATGATTTTGTACGAATGTCGAGGGCGACTTCTTTCATCAAACTCACTCTTTGTTGACTACAGAACGGAGCAAACTTTATCTGCGAATGTGTGGCCGAATCTCATTGAACCAAGCAACCCAGAAATGAAACTCCACTATTTGAAGTCAAATGCCTTGCGTTTTAGTACCGACTACATTATTTGATGTTCCAATAGCATATCAAATATTATTTAAACATATAATAAACATCAAATAATATGATGTTCAAATATTATCTGATGTTCCGATAATATCTCCACTATTTGAGTCGGAATGACTCACGTTTTTTCCATTCTAAATGGGCATCAAATAATATGAACGTGCAATTCAAGCTGGATTTTGAAACTCAAGATTTTCTATTACAACTAAAAATATCCTCTATTCGTTTACTTCACAAAAGTGAATTAGAATGACTTTATCCACCAAATTAAAAATGTCTTTATTTCAAGACAGTTTTATTTGGTGACAAATGTCTTGAAATTCACAAACAAGATGTTGACCCACTTTGTTGAATTGACCCCTACAGACATTCACATGTGATTGTATAGATCTCATGAAGTCAATACGTACAACCGCATGCCCATGTACAGTCTCACATGCTCTTGGCCATCTTGCATGGATCACTTCTTACACCACCTTGATAAAAGAAGTGAAATTTCATTTCACGTAGATAAAACCCCTTGATTGTGTCTTGCGGTTGCCTATTGATTATATGGAAGCTCCTCCTCGACTACTGCTAGAGCTCAAATTTGATTTACATGAACATAACATCAGCACTCCGCTTCAAGTTTTTGCTACTAATTTTGAACTTTATGTATATACGTGGTACTGATATGTAAGTATTGTGCTAGACCTAGTTTATTAAACTTTGGATGTCAAGCGAAAAAGATAGATGTAGTATTGATTCAAAATTTGAGTTTTTGTATACTTTGTTTTCAAAAGGATTATGCGCGCTTTGGACCCTATGAGGTTTCATTTGCCGCAGGTTTTTGTAAATTTATTTAAAACCTCATGATATTGGCCTGACGCTTGTGCAATGAAAATCAGATATTACTTTGAGTTTCATTCAATCCTTCCAACTCGCCCAAATGGCACGCGCATTTCGTTGTTGGCACCAGCTATAATTTACTTCAATAAATGAAGGCCATAATTTAGAACTTGTACAATAAATCCAAGGATCATAATCACATGAAACGAGAAGAGATTGCGTTTTCTTAGGGTTTCATGCTTTTACCCGTCCTCTGGTTCTTTTTCATCTGGATAGCACACGGCGATACATCCTCGGTGATATCAGTCATAGCAATTTGGAACAAATCAATATGTTCAGGAAATTATACCATGGAGCTTATGTTCGGAGGGGGAAGTTGTATACCGATTCTAGAAATGTAACTGACTGAACCGAAACCACACGTTCCCTGTACTTAATGCCGAATGCCATACACTTTTTCCCGTAATGCGCTACTGACAAATCATTGACGTCCAAACATGTCCTGAAGGTCATCTGCACAGTTTTATACAATTAGCCTAATAATCAAATATGCAGTCTCAACTCAGAAAAATGTACACGTGTCAACGTGATGTTGCTTTCAATTTTATTGAATGAATTCAATACTGAAATTTAGGCTGAATTATATTCTATTACAATGGCACTGCATTAATGGTATGCATCTGTACTGGACATACCTATCCTAGAGTCAAACACAGTAACCTCCTCAATTCCAAAGACAATCTCTCATCATGTGAACAGGAGCAAGCTTCACTTAAAAAGCTTGCATGGGACCAGCTCAATTTAACCACCACCTTAGCGCGTAAGGTCTACCCAACAACACGAATGACCATTCTACCAAAAGCAAGAAGACCATTTACCCTGCTGGCTCAAAACCTATTGTACCCGTAACCAGATACCAGCTCAGCTCTGTTGGTGGACCCTACTCTTTTAGAAAATTGATTGTGTCTTATATGTGCCGTATCAATTGATGTGGTACCATTGACTGCGAACTAAATACAACCTTCCAAAAACATTACCGGTTGCGATACTGCGCAGATTCTGTGAGAGGTCACCACGTTTATAAACTAATGAACAGGATGGAATATTTTTCATTGGACATTCTTTAGAACTAAATCAGACCAGCAAGAACAGCAGCAGGGCCTGTCAATCCCATTGATGCGGGCGATGGAGCCGGTGGTGGAGGAGGTGGAGCGGCAGCGTAAGGAATTTCAATCAGCTGCTCCTTAATAAACTCCTTAAATCTGAAGGATACAATCCAGTTAGCTTTCAAGCGAGCTTGAGACCTAAATTTTACTTCCGTAGACACGCTACTCGTCCATCAGCAAACAAACAAAAAGTGGGCACAGCAGGGAAAATTTCTTTTATAGAGAAGCACACTTGCACAACCCACATCAACAAGTCCACCGACGTTTAAATGATCACTTACTCGAAACTCGTGGTTGGATCTGGAGTAGCAACAGTTATACGAACTTGCGTCCTATCGGCAGGATCCGTTTCAACGCGAATCTGAAATTCAGGCCACAATATTTAGACTAATCTTGCGACCTTGTCCGTTTGCAGGATAAAAACATTAGTTTAGTAGTCATAAAGATCCTCACTCAAATTAAAGGGAGTGAAGGATAGGTCATGCACCAGACACAAAGTGGCTCCTCCGGTCTCTGAGTAGAAAGTTGCAGCTGCAACGATATTGTTTGGGTTGGGGTCCTGCCAAAGCCAAGAATCATGAGAACCAGTTTGAGTGTCGAGACAAAAGAAATGCTGAAGTCTACATGATATTCTTAAGAATACAAGGTAAAGTAGTCAATTCTTCTACAAGCATTTTGTACATACACATATCAACGATTTACTCCACACAGTTAGATGTATACACCACACCAGTTTCCACACCAGTTTTCGGACGAGCAGCGACCAAAGAGAATGCAAGCCCTGTTAATTCAACAATACAAAACAGCCCTGTATAACTAGAAGCAATGTGACTCCAAGCGAAAGGACGTAAAGTTCCTTAAAAGGGTATTTAAGAGGCCCACCAGTCCAGGAGCGACACCAACATGCAGAGAAGTGAACAAATCCGCCATCTCAGGGAGTGGCAAAGGTTTTACTCCTCGCACCTGCTCTTGCAATAGAGTCCGAATGGAATTTAAAATCCAAAAAAAACAAAACAAAAAAAACTCGAATTTCAGCCATTTCTATCAAATTACCATGCCAGTTTTCAACTTTAAGCGTCCATCGCTTGTATGGGCACCTCTATACGATGCTCTTCTTCATCTCCATTTCTTTTCGTTCGGGACAGATACCTACCACTTCTTGGAGTTTCGTTGGTGGACCGGCCAGAGCCCTCCATTTTGCAACGAAATCAGGTGCAGAAACAGGTGTAGCTTGCAAGAACTTGTTCATGACCACTGGCAAGCGCAACTTCAGACTCACCTGCATAACCATCTCCAGCTTATGAGCTCCTAGATACTAGGGCCGCCACGGGTATGGCAGCCACTAATCGTCCTGAAAACTAATGTCATACAAAAGTAAGCGAAGATAGGCCACTTACAGGGACGTTGACACTGGTGTATGAGAAATCCAGAACAGGTACTTCTCTGCTGGCGTGTATGCATACGACATCAAGGGGCGATTGAACCTGAATAGCAATAGAAATTGTCAAACAAACTCGTTTGAAAATTTTCAAATATCAACATAGAAGGTATATGGAGACAGCCCTATTGCAACCAAGATAAGGTTGACAGAAATAGTAACATTCGCTCGTATCAAGAAAAATGGTCAAAAGACTTGACACACGCAGAATACACGTCTGCACAATGTTATCTGCTCCTACAACACTGCGGGGATCGAGGAGAATGAAATGGCGAGCGACCGAAAGAGGACCTGCGCTCTGGGTGGTATAATTTCTGGAACTGTAGTTAGCTGCACACGCAAATTTGAAGGAGCAGCGACCACAGCTTTCACTGATGTCAAAGGTGCAGCGTTCTTGTTACCAAAAAACAAGAACATTCTTCCATGAGGGCCCCGCCAATCTGTCTTGATACCAATCTGCAATATTCCTTTGTCAGGAGTTACGTACTCCAACAAAAGCACATGCATTCTTCCATATCTAAAACTAAAACACTAAAACAAGCTGGTGAAAAAGGTAAAACAAGCTGAGGAAAAAGGCTAGCACCCAGAAAGTTGAACACAAAACTCGAAGTTCCAAATATAAATGTAGTGGTTATGTACCTGTATCAAGGGATCTTCGTAAAGAACACCGCTCTCCTTTATAGAGAGAGAGCGGAACCAATCTGCGATACTGCCAATCGGCTGCATATACAAAGCCCAGGCTGATCAGTAACTTAGAGACTCACCATAGACCAGTGTCAATACCTCAGGAAGAGGGTAAACAATTGCACCAGACATACGAGAACAGCGGGGAAGGTAACCGAAAAGACACATCACAATAAAAACAGAGATAACTGATAATTGATAATGTAAACAAAACAAAACAAGAAACGCTTCGAGGAAGTACCTGCACTTGAGGAGGCCCATCCATTAAAGCCAAAGCCAACGAATCTCCGGCAGCAGGAGGGGCGGGAGCTAGGCCGGCTGAAGGAGGTGCCTCCAATGCCAGGATTGCGCTCGCTGGAGTCGAAGCTACGGGTGCAGCTGCAGGACCAACACCAGGAGGTGCTTCAATGGCAAGGGGTGCCATCAAATCACCAAGAAGATCCGCTGGGCTAGGAGCAGGAGCCGGAGCAGGTGCGGCGGGAGGAGCCGGGGGAGCAGCTCCAGTGGCTGGTGCAGCTCTTGGTACGGCTCCATTTGCATATGGAGGAGGTTGAGGTGCTACTTCAGGTAGTCCCATTTGGTCCTACGATAAGAACACGTGAATAGCCGGTATGAGTTCACACAAGTCCTTAGACCACGGCTTACAGGAAGAAAATACCAATCAAACAGATAAAGTTATAACCGGTTAGCAGCCTTACAATGTTGCGAGGTGCAGATGATAATCTGGTAAGCGGAACAGCCGATGCCCCATTAGGTTTAGCATCAGAAACAACCAATGCCGTGGATACTTGCTGTTGTAATCGCAACTTGGTGGCACTTAGCTCTGCTGAATCACCTTCTGTATCTTCTGCTTTCTTCAGAAGAGCCGACTGAAGCATCCGAATTTGCTTGTAAGTTTCAAATTCTATATGCATCTAGTTACAACTAAAATTGTACTAATCACATGTGGATAGAGAAATATGTTTATGGCGTCTCGCAAGAATGGATTCACACGACAATGCACTTTTACCCGGACCTGGGGCGTACTTGAACGAACGACTGACTCTGGACGGGGAATAACTTTTTCTTAGTAATTAGAAGTGCCCGGAAACTGATAAATAGGTTGCAAAACGATGACAAAGTGCGGTGGCAACTTCTCCGCTCTATTCACCTGTCTTTCGGGGAACTTCGGCATTTCAGCTAATATATCCATCATTGATGCTCCTTTCCGACTTAGAGCGAAATACTCCACGGCACGTTGCTGTACTTCAGCATCAACATAGCTCTCGTACCTGGAGAAAATTCAATGATACAGATGGAATATATATCACCAACACGGCTTGCTCCATCTGACACTCGTGATTCACAATCACTCGGCTACAAACAAGTGAAGTTGTACAGAACGGAGACTCGTCGACAACTTTTCGTGAGACAGAAACCTACAGATTTACCTTCCAAGCAGGCCTCCCTGCAGGAAATGCAATCGTGAAGAATGAAAAGATCAACTTTGACAGTACTCCTTAAAACGCTGGATACTCACTTCTTAAACACTCCCAACACAAGCTCTTGCAACTCTGGCTCAGGAGGTTGAGAGTGCATCAGTAATTTCACGTAGGCTGATAGAAGTAAGGCCTTCGTTGATGTCCTGCGAAATTGGGCTTAAAAGTCAAAAGGGAGTTACAAACAATGCTGATGTCTGAAGACAATCGTACTCACGACTTGCTGGATAACCTCAATTGGCAAGAATACAGTTAGTGATTTTGGCCTTCTCACTCCTCGTTCATTGAGGTTACTCCTCCTTGTCTTGTATCCCAAGCTGTTTTCTCCATGAATATCTTCATCCTCTTACTATTGAGTGTTTAGCTTTAACTCCATACAGATCAGGAACAATTGGCAAGTCGGCTTTGTCAGCCGGCTTCGGACTAAGTAATATAGCTTACGTGACAGTTGGGAACTTGTCGTGAACAATAATAAAAATTTCCTTCGGACTGCAGCCAGACCTTCTCGCCAACAGATGACTGTACTCTCCTAACAAATATCCCGCAACCTGTGCATAGCAAAGAGACCAGAAAAAGTTGTGTTGTAACACTACACATTTAACACAACAATCCTCCTCACAAGAAGCAAATAATCTAATATAAAATAGATCTGCTTCATTAGGACTGACTGCTATTAAACTAACAACGGCGCAACTTCGTAGCATGATCCATGCGCAGATAACATCAAAAATAGTTACCTTGACCATAGTTTCATGAACAGCAGGCTTATCCAAGTACTCTCGAGCTTTAGCTGCTGAGTATGCCTGTGAATCCTCTCTGATGTCAGAATCAATATAAGCGTAGAAAAGTCCCGTTTGAAACAAAGTTTGATCTCTAGGTTAAATACGCATCTGACATGACAAAAATACCACATCCCTCTGTCTATTTGGAGTCCCACAGCACACCCCAGATGAATTTTAAATTGGAAACACAGTGAGGACATGACATGACAAATACCTGAAGGTCTTCATTATTTGTCACGAACTGGACCACTCTATACCAGATGTCATCACTTACAAAGTCTCCTGCCTTCTCAATAAGTTGAAGTATCACATCGACGTACCTGCCATATGACATTCCTCTCTTTCTGTTAGCTATGTGGCACATAGATAATACCAGTGATGACATGAAGAAGCAAGACCTTAAACATTCCAAGCATAAACTACTCAGGATATGGAGATTCTTAGTTTTTAAACTACGTTTCAAGTCAGAAAATTGTTCAAGATAGAACATTGTCTTCTGCACAATCATAAGAATGAAAGAAACAGGTCCTTTTAAAGGAATGCTTAAAAAGTATACCAGGACAAATCTGGAGCAAACTTTTCAGCGAGGATGGCAGCCTTGAGGGCAAGTTCTTCGCGAATTCCGAAATCTGCTGTCGTCAAGTACTGCCAAATTGCTTTCAAGTGTTAAGATCCGTCTAAGTGTACCTCAGCAGTAACTCTGAAGATGTATACAAAACAAACGGTTGAATTTACTGCCTAACATCAAAACCAGCTTGCAAGGGAAACAAAAGCAAAAATTCCAAACTCTAGCGTGCATTGTACTATTTACGTTTTGTTATCGACTAACAAATCTCCGACGTCCAAACTACATAGCATATCAATTCTTGCATATTACACGGGCTCTTTACTCTTTGACTGCTGCCGATCCTAAATCACTCCTAAAGTAGCAGGTGCTCAGATATGCTCAAGAATGTGTGAGATGTGTTATCAAAGTGTCAGCTTAGGAACGGAGCCAGTGGCACCTGAAGAAGCTCCTCAACAATATCTTTGGCGTTGCTGACATCACACATTCCGTAAAGCAGATCTAAGGACCTCCTCCGGATACTGCAGGAGATATCGAAGGAATCGAGTAAAACAATCAGATGACACAATCGTTCTTCTGTCTTCCATGAATGGTTACTAAATGCATTCTTCCGTCTCACGTGAGTCATACCACAAGAGTTGCAATCCATGAGGTTCCGCAACTGTATAGTTGTAAGTGCTAAATTCCAACCTTGACACAGCTAACCATAGTGTTTAGTTACAGAACTTAGTTGACCGTATGAGTAAAAAGACCGTACTTCTTGTGAGCTACTCAAAAGCAATCGCGTCTGTATGTACCAAACACTGTATGTGAATCACAAACCTGATATCTGGATCCTTCAAAGAACTGATAATTTGTGCTTGATGTCTTTTGATACTATCTTGTACATCTGTTACCAAGAGCATTCTTGTCATATTCTCCTGCAATTTGGGTATAAAGATTATTAGAGATCAACACTGGATGCTTCCTGTCGAGGACCTAATTGTTTGGACTTACTTCATAAGGCATTTAAAGACGTCCAGTTGAAATCTTCAAGAGATCTTACCAGGCCTAGATACCGTATGTTGGGCTCCCGGACTGCTATAAACCTACCGAGAAGTGCCACGCATTGTGACATCATTTCCTTTTCTGCATCAAGGTGCATTACCTGCACATAAAGCGACGGGGGCCCAACGACAGCAGTTATAACAGAGTGCAATGCAACTCAAATCAGCGTAAAAATATTGCTTGATGCTGAATTGTACATAATACACGCCTTCCATTCTTCAGTGCTAAGCCACCCAAGTCTATATCCATGAAAACATAGAACATCTCCATCTCTAATTTAAAAGCCTTGCAGCAGAAAATATTATTTTTTGCTAAGAGTGGGGGCGGCCTACCAGGGCAAGGGCTTCGAACAGCACGGCATGTGAAGCATTGTTCTTGTTCACGTTCTTCACGACGTCAGTCCCCATTAGAATGCGGTGTAAGACCTGCAAGACATCTTTCTGTCAATTACCACGCTCTTCAAGAGAGCAGTAACCAACATTTTCAGATGAACCCGTAGTTGATCAATTTTACCTCAAAAAGAGACCTTCGGATGGTAGGGTCTTCTATGGCAGGAAAGTACTGCAAAACTCTCATGGTCTTGACCTGTAAGGGGCAAATACACAGTAGATCTCCAACATCAGTGATTCGTAATCTGCAACTTGTATATCGTCAACGCGTCATTACATCAACATTATGTTGCAGAACACACGATAAAGATATAGACTGTGATGAAGCCGGGAATAGCCCATGCACAAGAGCTACTCAGCGTCCCATGCAGATAAATCAACAGACAAACAATTTGGACAGTTCATTTGTTTGTTAACCCTCGTTAAAAGCCAACAGAGTGAACTATCTACTATGTACACGGATTTCTCAGAGATATTTTGTACCCACAGACGTAAAATTTAAACGTGCAGATTGGGACAACATTGAAGATACTGGTTGCGTTCATTAACTTAAAGTTTGCTTGGATATAGAGGAATATAGAAAACAACACAATTTCATTGAGATGTAGATTTATGGCAGTTAAAAGTCCTCGAATGACAAACTTCATTCTGAAATGATTTCAACCTACAATAGCGGATAATCGGTTTCACACGCGGTAGTTCACCGTGTGTTTTGCAATCTACCGTATCCAAGCGCAATGGAAAATGGGTTTGTATCCATAACTACCTGCAGCCAAGGTGAAGGAATGCCGTAGTATGTGTATTCCTGAGGAATATCCTGGCTCCTAGTCAAGCGTTCAAGAGTACGGACGCATTTTGGAACGCAGTTCCAATAACCTTCAGGATTGTTGGCCACCAGAGACACCAGCAAACTCATAACTGCTGTGAGTACTCCAATGTCCTTTTCGTCCAACAGCTGAACCATGCGCTCTGACCTGATATGATTGAGAAGAGGGATTGACAAAGATATCCACGCTCGTAAATTAACACAAGATCAAAAGAAGTTTAACCTACTGAGATAAAGTGAACAATACTCAGTAGCACGGACACGCATTGAAAAACCATCTAACATATCTCTAGTGTAAACGTCCTGACGGTAAGAAGGGCAGTGAAACGACTTGACAACTGGTTTCCATCCCACGCACCATCCATCCACGTTCACAACATCTGGATTTTTCCTGTATAATCGTAGAAGGCAAAGTGCAGCTTTCTTCCGAACAAGAGGTCTGCAGGTGCTAGAGATCTGCAAAGAGAGGAAAAGGTTGAAGAATAAGCAATGCTTCACATCTACAGGCAAACAGAACCACACATATTCGAGGAGTCAAAACAAGATTGACAGCCGCTAGGCGAGCCTACCAGAAGCTTTTGAACGTCCGGAGCCAATGATTCAGAAAATTCTTTACCACCAACGTTGCCAACCTGCAGAGCAAAAAAGAAACCCAAGCACATTACTAGATAAATTCTGAAAATATTATATTGAAGCTTCATAGCTACGCTTCAAGTTTTCAGTTTTAAGAGCTTTGCTTCACACAAGTTTGGAAAACAACCAAAAGTTTGTGGAATGTAATCAATCTAGCTCTCTAACACCACGAGTAGACTGGCATATTCAAGAATCCTCTACGATCAAAAGCAACAAACGCAAACAGTCCGTTACATCAAAGCATCTCTACTTGTCCTATATTGTCCTCACTTCTGATCAAATTCGTGACTTCTACTAAGAACACTAAGTACAATTTTCTCAAACTTTCTGATTAGCTGACTATGGATGAGAAGTGATTGACACAATTTACCATTGTAAGAGCAAGGCACTGGAAAGTTTCATTACGACCGATGATGTCATTCCGCACAGTGTTGATGACAAGCCTGAGGAAGTCGTGATTCTCGTTTAGCAAGCAGGATGTAACGATGTACCCCACCTAAAGCACCACAGCAACGCAATGCAGATAATCAGCCAACAAATCTCAACATCCAAGATACGCTCTCCTTTCTTACAATTTTCTAACCAGCCCAGTAAACAACAGGCTCAGAAGAGAACATGAGAAAAATAAGAGACGAAAGGTAGGAGCGTTGACGATACTTCATGGCGATGAACTTCTACTACATTGTACAGATACAAAGAAATGTTTTGAAAGGAAAGAGTCCGTTATATAACCCCTGTTATACCTGCTTCTCTGCATACTTCGGTGCAGATATGAGGGCAACAGTTTCCATGTGCCCAAAATCAACATCATAGCCGAGCATGTATATATACAGCATTTTCCATACATACTTCTTCTTTTCGTAAGGCGTTAAACCCTGGAAATTCACCCGCAAAAGCAGAAAAGTCATTCCTAGCACATAGTCATGTCGCAATCAGTGCAAACGAGATTGGTCTGTATCCAGACTTCGAAAAGAAACGATATTTTAAATTTTCACTGCAGCCATTTCCGAAAGAGCTGGTCAGCCCGACTGTAGGACCAACCGTTCATTATGACCATTTGCTCGAGCTGGACAAGCCCGAGCACAGTAGGACATTTTATATCCAAAACAAAACTTCTCCATTGCGAAACGTAGTTTTTAGGCACTAAACCAGAAAAACTAGAACTATCCTCGAGCCTATTTTACGGATCCACCTAACCTCGGACCACCACAACCATGAGCACTATGAACATGAGACGACCCAACGCCTAGATCTCGTCCCCCGCTATCAGCCACCTGACAAACAGTCAGCCACACACTCCAAGACCAGCTCACTTCTATCCATCCTTGTGCTCAGCACTAAAGCTTATCCTCACACTGCAATCTCAATGCCCTGTAAAGTTAATCGCCACAGCGTCATCAACAACTTCTTCACGCTGAAGTAGAACGCACTCAACAGGTCCAGTTCGTGGACCCCCGGTTTCCGTCCTGGAAACCGAGGTCCGGCTCCAGAAGAAAAGCGGGGAGGGAGCAATGCAGCTAACGTACTCTCTCATTTTTGAACCGCGTCCTGATGTTAGCAAGCTCCTTGTCGACGCGCAATCTCTCCTGCTCCTTATTTTGACAATTCCTCACATCGCTAATAAACACTGAGAGCCCTCTCATGCCCGAGAGAGCCATCTCTGCTGCTACTGTACTCTCGTCGCCAATTCAGATCTTCGCGAACCCTGCAAATACCAGCCTATCCTCCACCTATCCGAGTCTTGAGATTCTTTCCCACCCCCGTTCGTCCTATCTGTCCTCCCTTTTTTCCACCTCAATCCGTCGATCCATCACGTCCACGCGTCGAGAAAACCGCTCCATCCCTCGATCCCACCACACTCCGACGCTCCCAGTCGGATCCAAATTCTCTCCCTCCTGGCGATCCTGCCATCAATCAAATTGATCGTCGATCATTCGATCTGCTCGGGGCCCGTCCCATCCCTCGCCTGCCCTGCCTTGCCTTGCCTCCTGCTGCCTCCTCTCCTCTCCTCTCCTCTCCTCTCCTCGCCTCGCTGCTCTTCCCTGCCTGCCTGCCTGCCTCCACTTGCCTACTCGCGACCGCGCAAGCAGAAGAAGACGACGGAGCGAAGCAGTAGTCGCTCGAACAAGAGGGAGACGCAGCACTACCTTGAGGCGCAAGGACAAGCCCGCCTCGGCCCGCCTGGACGACGCTGGCTCCGGACTGATTGGACTCGTTCTCTCCCGGGCCTAATCCGCATTAGCGACGATTAGTGCTCTCTAAGCAACGGCAATTGGCTTCTGTCCCGTCTCTGCCGCTCATTAGACCTGCAACTGGTCTCGGCTCTCGGCCGGTCCGTCTGGATTCACGTCACCCTTCGCGTCCGTCGTCGCCCCACCTGGTCACCGGCGACAGCTATGTTGAATCTCTCGCATTTATTGAATTCCTCTTCTGAGCATCTGTTTTAAACCTTCCGGAGGCATCTCCGCTGACCTCGGTCATTTATCTCCACACAGCCGACTCTCTGCCCGGATAAGTGCACTGTGCTGCATAAACTAACCCAAACGTACACAATGTCTATTGCATGACTGTAGTTAAGTGACTTTGTTCTCACTGCATTCTTTTTCTCCAATGGATGAAGCTATTAGATACTTCGTCTTTTAATGTGTCAAGTGTATAAGCATATGTACGATTGAAAGCTATTCTTATGTCAACAAATATGAATGTACAGTACATGTATCATGATTTAGGACAGAATTACTTGATTGACACAAAAAAATTGTTGGAACCCAACACAATTTGTTTTCCAGTATCTTATACCTGAGCACGTCATCACCCATGTTCCGATACCATTTTTGGTTTGGATACAACCCACTGTAGGGACATGATACTAGTGGGTGGTCCTTATCTGAAAAGACCTCAAACTCTCTCCTGAAACGCACCAATCGCGATTCTTTTCCAAAGAATTAAAATCTGCAAATAAAGCAAGAAGTTCATCATTTTGGTAGATGTAACAAGTTACTCAGCGATTAGAACAAAGATAAGCAGCGAGGGTAGACAAAGAGTGAGACCAAAGTTTTATTTTATCAATTTCAAGGTGTGCATGAAAATTTTTTATTTCGCGATTGGCTGTGCTAAATTGCATTTTGTCACAACCAGTAATTGATTTCAAAATGTGATGGACTAAACATATTATTATTGTTATTGTCTGATGGGTTTGCTCTAAATCTGTTGTTAATCTTATGCATTCCTAGCATTTCCATTTACACAAGCATTTGCATTTCCTTGGAATTTCCCAACGTAAAGATCTATCCAGACTTTTTTTTGTGCAATTCATCTAAAATGTTAGGATAAATCCTTCTCAAGGTATTGTGAACTTTGATGACGGTGTATTGTTGGCTATATGTGATAGTTAGATAGGGTACACTAAAGAATACACTATCTAACTAGGTCTTCATAATGTTTTGGACGACGAGAACTTCTTCTACTTAAGCCAACGAGCTATATTTTGTATTCAAAAACACTATGAAGACACACTTTTCATAAAATGAAACTACCTTAATGTTTTGATTTTCTCGTGTGATTGTGTGACTTTTCTTGTATTTTGATCCAACAAATGGTATCAAATAGAGTGTGATTGTGTAACTTTTTTATATATTGAGGCAACAAATGGTATCAAAGATAGAGTGTGTGAGTAGTGAGTGTTTGTGACTAAAGATGTATGTAGCTTGAAGAGTGATTAGTGCAAAATAATAGTGTCTTCAATGGAAGCTTGATTAATTTGATTGGCTGTTGCGACAAATAGCTCAACCATCTTGTTGTTAACGATGTTTGTCGAATCTTCATCTTCAAGAGATTTTGGCCTCATTTTGCTGAGCACTAGCACACATCATTGCATCTGTGAGCTGAAGGTCACAGACGAGCAAAATCGGAAAAGTGAATTGGTTTCAAGCCGATAGGTATCCAAGATTGCTCTCACCTTGCTTCTTTCATGATCATGCGCAACTTCAACATAGCGCTATTTCTCCGATACTTATCAAAACTTGAACTCAATCAAATCAAGAATCAAGCTTGAAAGTAATAAGTTCAAGCTTGAACACATCTGATTTGGCTTCTTTAGCACTTTCAAATTCTATCTCGTTAACTTGTTTATTCCACACAAGTCGTCTATAATATATCATGAATCTCAAATCTTGAAATTGTAGACTTTGAGATTCAAATACTACGACTTTGGGATGGCAGCAAAATACGACATTAGTTAAATACAACGTACGTCATGACTATCAACTTTGGGAGAAAGTTGAAAAATAAACTCAATGTCATGACTGTTGGCAAGACATTAAGGCCAAAACCATCCACTTAAAATGTCAATGACTAAAGAGACATCCAAAAATATATTATGAGTATTGTCATACTTCATATGCAACCTTTGCATCTAAAGCAAGTGAATGAGTATGACAAATGTACTACTTGTTTGAAGCTTGAGCAATATTTTCATTGCAAAGAGTTGTCAAATAGATTGTATGATTCCTTGAAGCTGATGAGTTTTAATATGAAAGATTCTAGTAGAAAGATCCAAGATCATATCGGTAAATTTGATGATTTTATCATTGATCTTTAGAATCTTGAAGAGTAAATCATTGATGAGAGTAAACCTCTTCATTTTCTTAGTTCATTATTTGTATCAAATCAATCACTATCAAGTGTTTTGTTTCATTGTGATAGGCAAACAATCACTTGCAATGAGGTTGTAAATGCTTTGTTGATTGATGAATTAAAACAAACAATGATGTCATTTTTTCCATTTTCTGATACGATAATAAATGTGATTCAAAGTTGATTATATTTACAAAATGAGTATGATGATATGCGTTTCAGATCTAGGTATAAGTTTAACTCTATGAGTAAATCATTTGAAAAAAAACGGCAGTGTGTTGAAAATGTGACAAGATTGTTCACGTCAAGAAGTACTTTCATGTGAATACCGAAGGTGTTGATCTTTCATTAGCCAATGTGTCTCAAAAATTTGATATGAAGAAGTATGATTTGTTGGAATATAGATTATGATGCTACAAATATATCCTTTGCAATTTATTAAACGTTGTTAATGATGTATGGATTCTAAATAATGCTTGCTCTAATCACATTTGTTACGCTCGAAACTTTTTTTGAATTTTTTTAGTATCATACAATTCAATTCTTATAAAATATAATAACTTTATAGTATTTACGGTATTGTAGATGTGTTAAGTTTCAAATGTTATATGAAGTTCAATGTAAATGAGATTTATATCCAAAGTTGAATACTCTTGGAATGTTAGATTCAAAAAGCTTTGAGTGTAACTCTAAAAAAGTAAAGCTTGAAAGTAGTATATGTGATAAGATCATTTTAGATATCATAAATACAACAATCTATATGAACTAACATTCACTACCATTTGTGGTGAAGCTAATTTTACTCTATGTCAAACCGAGATGTTTCATGTGTGGCATTCTAGACTACAACACATGAGTAATAGATATCTGTCCCTCTTAGATGAAAGAAAATTGTTACTTGACATAACAAAGTTTATATAGAGTTTTTGCAAATATTGCATTATTAAAAACTTCATACACAAGCCTTTAATGTTGAAACTCATAATTCCAAAAAGTTACTTGTGCATGTATACAATGACGTGTGAAGAATGATTTCAAAATTTTCATTCTCTCAAAAATTTTACTATGTATCATTTATTGATGATTACTCAAGGTTTGTGTGAATTTATTTCATCACATCAAATCTGAGTTATTCACAACTTTCAAGAGTTTAAAAGCCCAAGTTGAGATTGAAACGGGTGTAACCATCTTTAGTTAGTTAGAACTAAAGTAGAGTTTACTCTAAATATTGATATAGATACTTTAGTGTGCACTAGTCATAGCTGTCACGTCAGCGATCCGTGCACTTGGTAGGTACAGAGTGGATGTGTTAGTTGACAGTGCCACGTCAGCAATCCGTGTACTTGTAGGTAAGGATTACGTGTGTTAGTTGGGAGCGCCATGTCAGCGATCCGTGTGCATGTTAAGGTTATCCGCCACGTCATCCATCCACTAGGAGTGGGATTGATGATGGGAATAAGATTTTATCTCCTTGTACTTGTTGGTGAGAACTATATTAGGGAGAGTAGAACCATTGTTGGTATCTCTCATCTTCAGAGCTTACGTTTCTATCTTCGAGTGAGCTTCTCTTTAAACCCTAGTGTTACAACGGGACACAAAGTGAGATTTTCATAAATGGATATTAAAAAAAAGTTTAATTGTGAGGAGTTTTGGAGTTACTGCAAAGAAAAATTTACACATTGATAATGATAGAGTTTATACTTTTGAGAAGTTTTGAAATTACTATACAGAGAAGTGAACTACTAGTCATTTCAACACGGTTTAACATAATGTTGTATCTAAAAATCTTAATAAAACAATGTTGAAATAGTTGCATAGTGTGTTGAATGAACTTGGTTTACCATATAAATTTTGGCATGATGTTGTTAATAATATAACATATTTGATAAATCTTTTTACTTTTAGTGACTCTTGTAAGACATGAATTATGAATCGATTCATACATTTTTAAAGATCTTGATGTTGATACAAAGTATGATGATGACATTTGGTTGATATTAGAAGAATGAGAACATTCTTCTCATGGAGAAGCTCACAATGTTGTCAATAAGTTTGGATGAAATGCTACTATAAAGTGGGAGATGTACGTTCTTATAGGTATTAAAACCTGGAAGCTAGTTAAACTTACTATAATGCAAGCTTTGGTTGTTTGCAAGTGGGTGTAATAACTGAAGTACAATCTAGGAGTTTACAAAATAAAATTTTTGAAAGCTATGTTGTTGTATAAAGATTTCACACAAGAGAAATTATATGAAATATGATAAAATATATTCATTTGTAACAAAGTATGTTACAATATGCTAGTTGTTGCAAATATACGTGCACTTGTTGAAATATTTAATCTTGTTATGGATTAAATTAACATATAATTAGCATTTTTCTATAGATCTTTAGAGAATCAAATATACATGAGACAATCAATTGGCTTCGAGAAAAAATGTTAGTAGAAATTAAATTGTAGGTTGTCAAGACTGTTATATAGATTGAAACAATTTT